TGAATACAAAGCGTGTCATTATAGTGTATGTAGAGGGTGCTTCGTTATTCCGCAACATAGGTTGAGATTCTACACCCTCATTTTGATTTTGCAATGGGTTTTGTCACAAATAGCAGGCGACAGTTATTGATGGTCAATGACAGCGAGTGAGCAGTGGTCAACGGTGGTCGGCGACTACAGGAATGGGCTCTGTTCACTGGACCTTCAGTGTAGACCACTGGGCTCTAACTCCTCCTCTAAGCTCTAGTCTTCTTTTGGTTCAAGGTCTTAGTCCCCTCTCAAGGAAGGGTAGGGCCCTATTTATAAAGTTCATGAGAGGACTTCTAGTAGATAAGGAAAAACCTCGGACCACTCCATCATATTGCCTAGAGAGATCCTTTCAAATGGATGATATTCAACATATATTTGAATGTCTTAACAATGTCAAAATTGAGTGAACATGGGCCCATTGGATTTGTCTTGTTGAGACACAATTTGACAATAAGCTTGTCAAATGTAGCATATATTGAACCTTCTAATTAGGCATAAGAAGCTTTCAAAAATAATTTAACAGCTCGATTTAAGTTTAATTTGACTTGTATTGGATCAATTTTAGTTTCATTGTGTTTATCTCATTGAGTCGATCAATTTGACTGTAAGTTTGCTAAAATCAGAGTTCTGAATGATTTTTAATAGAAACTTAAATGTTCTTTGCTCAAAAAATTATCTCGAGATTCGTGTCACACCTTGAGATATGTATGAGATGATGAAAATTTGTTGATGATGTATTAACCATTGTACGACATCCTTTATAAATGGAACAAACATTTCTTGAAGAAATAAAACTATTGAACACTATTCATTAATGTTCATCTCTCTCTCGTTCTCCCATCATTTATGTTTTATTCATTGGTTGTGATTCATGGACAATCTCATATTAAATATTTTGAAAGGTGCGGTGAGTGTGGATCAAACCACCAACAATAAGAGGAGCATGCTAATGAGTTGATCCGATAGATAGGCATCGGTTCGGGCATGATGCATTGCACGAACAAGATAATGTGTTCTCTTCGGGAGATTCTAAGGTTGAGACACCAGAACAACTCAAGATTCTGATTGAAACTTACGATGCAAAAACGGATCGGACCCATCACATTTCTTTCAAGTTAACTGTGTGTCTTCTCAAGATTAACGACGCACTAAGATGCTAACTCTTCTTCTCAATTAGTTCAATGGCTTACCAGTAGGAGGGATCGTGTCATTTGCATACTTCGAACAAATATTCATCGTACAATCCGCCAGCACGCAAAAATTGAGGAAAAGCTCGCAAGCCCTCTTGCAACTTTATTGATGACATATACGATATAATGTTATTTTATCTCAAAATATATTTGATTTCATGTCATTTGTTCATTAATTTATACCAAGTAATACTGGCATAAAAGATTAAAATAGCGGAATATTAGCACACGTATCACTCAATTCCTATGTATTGACATTTATAGCACCAAAATTTTAATTTTTACTTGTAAGAATGAAAATGTGTATTTCACTTTTTAAAAATAGTGATATTTTATATAATGTATGAAAGAATTGAGTGATCTAAATGAAAAAAATTAAAACTTAGTTAGTTTTGTAAATATATGAGAATTGGGTGGTATGTATGTAGGGTTGTAAACGAGCCGAGCTTGAGAGAGTTCAGGCTTAGCTCATGTTCGGCTCATTCGAAATTGCTCGTGTTCGAAATAGGCTTGTGAACAGTGTGTTCGTGTTCTACTCGAAATTAACTCGTTAAAATTAAATTGAAAAAAATAGATATAAAGTGTTGGATTCGAACCCGGACCAAATATATACAAAGGAATGCATTAACCACATTACCACACAAGGTGATATAATTTGATTGAATAATTAAAATTTGTTTATAACGTATCAAATACATTATTATATAAATAATATATGTAATATATTATTATATAATATATATATATATATATATATTTTATTTCGATCTAAAATGAGCTGAACACGAGCGAACAAAGAGTTGTTCGTGTTAGGCTCATTTATAATTCAAGTTTTAAAAACTTGTTCGTGTTCGACTTGTTTACTTAAGGAACGAGCCGAACACAAGCTGTTCCCGAACAACGAGTTTTTTTGACAACTCTATATGTATGTAAATGTCCCTAAAATAAGTTAACTAATGATTTTTTTTTAGTGTTATATAAGTTAGTTCAATTTTGATGGTCAACAAAAAATTGAAAAGACATACGAGCCATAGGACTTATTAAGTGTTGAAAAACACTTTCCATAAATATCATCAAATTTGATAGAGGTATTTTGAACAAAACATTGGATTTAAAATTACTCATACATTTCATATAAAATTATTTGGTAAATTATTCAAATGTCCAAATGGATTCCAATCATGAATGGCATACTTGTAATTAGTGTAAAATTCAAACTTCCCTTCTCTGTCCCTCATAAATAGTAAGGCTTTTGCAATCTCTTCTTTCTCGTCTCCTCGTCGTTTCCTCTGCTATGTCGTTTTTCTTGATTTTTTTTTTTTTGCGATTCTATTTCCTATTTTGCTCGTTGCCTTCCCAATCAAGATCACATGCTAAATTCCTATGATCTCTCCTTTTTTTTTTCTTTTGTTTGCCTGTCGTGGTTCCGCGCCGCCTCATTGCTCAATTTAAGAGCAGCTGAGGGCTAAGGCATCACAACCGACCCTCGCTTAAGCACGAGTTAAAGTCTAGCAGAACAGTCTTGACAACGTGCCTCTCGACACACGAGGCCTTTATTTTATTTATATTTGACTTTGATTTTAATTAGAGTATTGTAGGTGAATTGTATTGTTTAAGTGTGTTGTGTGAATTGTGGTGTTTGTGTGTGGATGTGTCAAAGAATAAAAACACCTAAGTCTAAAAGGCTCTCCTAAGCCACTCCCAATCCTTATAAGAGCTCAACTTGATTTTAATATGTCGATTCCAATGGACTCAACTAAATGTTGAGGATTTGAAACCAAACATATGAGATTATACGGAGTCAAGAAGTGATTTGAATTTCTAAATGATATGGGCCCCAATATTGGTATTCTAGGAGAGTCGGTAGAGAAATCCTATGACTAGATCATAGGCTCTAGAGAGCGAAACAAACATCACCAAAATGAGGTAAACACCGCTTTCACCCCATGGATCCGCATGACACGACCAACCCGATGACCCTCCAATACGTTGTAGACATTGATGACCCTTCGGATCACAACACAACTTGACATACCGACCTGGTAATCTGCCTCCACTGTTATGTGCCAGTGGCTATCACCGCCCGCCTTTGCTTAAGATTTTCAAATTTTCCAAAATTTTCAAAAACTCCATTATTTTGATAATTTTCATTATTTTGATAATTTTCAGACAAACAGACAAAATCATCTAAAAATTTGGGGGTAACTAATATATCATCAACAAAATTTTATCATTTGGCACGAATCTCAAGACATCTAGCATGAATCAAGAAATATTTTTTTTAGGAAGAAACATTCAAACTCAAATTAAAAATCATCAAGAACTCTTATTTCAGCAAACTTATAATTGAATTGACTGGCTCGACGAGACAGACCTAATGACACCAAAACTGACTTAATCTGAGCCAAATTAAGTCGGAAGTAAACCCTTAAACCACTTTTAGAAGTTTTGGGTGGTTGATTGGAATGTTAAATGAATTTCAAATCTAACATACTTATAGTTAAATCAAATATTTGATGACATGAATCTAACTGACTCTGACATCACAATAACACTTAAATATCGACAAAATGTTGCCCAGTCGTAGGAATCTCTCTGGATCATTCAATAAATTGATCTAGATTAATTCCTCATTTGCATGTTAGGATCTCTCAAAATCTATAAATGAAACCCTTCTCCATTCATGAAAGGAAACTCAGACCTTGAACTAAAAGAAGAGCATGACTTGGAGCTAGTTTGAGAAGGAGTTGAATTCAAGCATCGCTCCACACGGAAGAACCGACAAACACTCCCCGATCTCACAATCGTCAACCACCACACACTGGCCACCATCGACCACATTCGACTACCTCCTGCTCTAGCAACAAAACCCCTCTAGAAGTCAAACATATGTTGTGAGGTGACAAAGCACAATGTAAAGACCGATATAGCGGAATAACAGAACACTGCGGGGTAAAGACTAACATCGCGGAGTAATCAAGCATCCTACGAAGAATTGAATCATCCTAAACACCGTGCAATTACACACTTTAAGGGCAGTGCACTGAAATCCCGACAACCACTCCCAACTACAACAACTCCAGACCTTTATACAACAAATCTTTTTAAATATAATCATTGTAATTTGAAGAATAGTGTAACCATTTCACTTATATGGGACAAAAAATTGTACTTATATTCATCTACTTATAGTTGATTGTCCCATTTTTTACCAAATTTTTAAAATAGCATTTAAAAATAAAAATTAAAAACTGGCCTGTTGGCGACGAGCGTTTCATGATTCCTTTCCCCTTTTTTTTTTTTTTTTTTTCTTATTTTTCTTTGCTTTCTGCGTGAATGACTTGATATTTAGGATTTGCGATTTCCATTTCAAGAGAAATTGATGAGAGATGAGATGACTGGAGAACTGACAGGCTTACCTCTCTTGCCGTCCATATCTGCGCATGACAAGATGTAGCCTGCAGACAATCATGAATCTTCAGGCATGCATCAATACATATATTTTTATTTTCAATTATTTATGTATAATTTTGCTTTCACTTAAATACAAAGTGATTTTGATCAATCTAACCGTCTAAGATCCATCCATTAAATTTCCATTAATCTCGTAGCATCTCTCGAGTAACACAAGTAACCAATGAAATCAAATGCAGGCTTATTATGATAAATAAAAAAGCCTGCATCAGTTTATGAGAGCCGCTGGATAAAAATAACAATTTCGCTCCAAAAAAAAAAATAGAGAAAGAAAGAAACAAACTAATATATACAAAACAAGACCCCCTTCTTTTAAATTTGATATAATTTAACTGCATGATACAACTATCATTTATGAAAATATATATGTGCTTAAATTAGCTGCATCAATTATTAAACTTCTATTTTTGGAATGTTAAAAAAATAAAATAAATTAAAATACCCTTCTATGTGACTCCCCATGACCAAGTAAAGATCCTATCATCCCTGTATTCCCTTAGCAGAGCAATACAATCTCAAGAAGATTCGGCCAAGGATCTCCCATAGCCATTCCTATGTGATTTCTGCCACTTCCATGCAACATTGAGGCTCTCTTCAAGATCTGTGTGCTTCGCTGTCCAGTTCAGCTCCATGTAGATCTTCGACGGATCGCTGTACACTTCGGCATAATCGCCGGGTCGTCTTTCAAAGTACTCCACTTTGATGTCAACTCCAGTCGCTCTCTTACAAGCTTCAACAAATTCCTTGACGGATCTACCTGATAGCAAAACTAATCTAAATATGAGCATTAAAATTTAGGGGCATTTACATGCATACCACTCAATTCCCATGTAATTGCATATCTATTACTTAAAACTTTGCTTTGTACATTTACACATCCCACAGCTTTTATATCACATCAAAATTTTCATGAAATACACCCTTTCATGCATACATAAGGTGGCATATATGAGAAAATTGACGTTTAGTTGTTAGATATGTAAATACATAAGAATTGCGCGGTGTGTATGTAAATCTTCCCAAAATGTATAGTGTCGAAATATCAGAGACTAAATGACATCCTGCAAAAGAGTCCAATCATCATATGAAATGCAAAGTTGTCTGACCTTTTCCAGTGCCAACATTGTAGATCCCGACATATTTAGGCCTTGCGTTGTCAAGAGCTTTCACATGAGCGTCGACAAGGTCGGTGACGTCGATATAGTCTCTTATGCAGGTTCCATCATGAGTTGGGTAGTCTATTCCTTTAACCTGTGAGTTTAATCAAACTCATCACCGGTGAATTCCGACATGAATAATGAGAAGCGAATCATATGTTTACCTTCAGCCCTGATATGATTCCTCGTGCGGCATCGAAGCATGCACCAGAAATTCGTCCATGCTCACGAAGCTCAGGTCTCGGAGCTTCGCCTAGCCTTCCTTCGGGGTCTGACCCAATGACATTGAAGTACCTGATCATGGGGGGTTACAAAAAAAATTAGGTACTGACATTTTTTTTATTGGGGCTTTACATACATACCAGACAAGTCTTATACATTTACATATCTTACACCTAAACTTTCATATTTACATGCATAACACTAAAACCTTTGATATCACATAAAAAATACCACTATCCATAACTTTTTAAAAGTGAATACACCTTGTCCTGCATTGGTTTTTAATATCAAGGTATTATAGATGTAAATATCATACTTTACGTGTTAGATATGTAAATGCATGAGATTTTTGTGGTATGTATGCAAATCTTCCTTTTTTTAATGGAATTTACGCTTTTTTCAGCCCATGTCAAGAGAATCAAACCTAAGAATCATAACAGACATGTCAGTATTCTTTGAAAAGTCCAGGATAATGTCCTCTGCCATCTTCTTGGCCTTCCCATATGGGTTGATAGGATACTGCATTATCAAAACAGAACTTCACCAGCTGAACTATTTGGTGTTAATTTGTAATTTTTCATGAAATTTTAAAAAATTAAAATCTTCAAACAGTGAAATTAACTCTGTACATAACTAAATAAAATTGTAATATACACGAACCTGAGGGGTTTTTTCAGTTATGGGCATTTTCTCAGGTTCTCCATAAGTTGCACATGTGCTTGAATATATTAGAGTTTTGACGCCGTGTTTTGCCATGGCTTCCAGAATAATCAGAGTATTTGCAGTAATGTTGTGATAGTACCTGTAGCGTGAAGCAGCCAAATTAAGAATCAAAATAGCACTGTACTTTTTTACAGATATTCCAATTGCATTTGATATGTAAATGCCATAAAATACTTATGTATTTACATATCTAACACCTAAACTTAAATTTTCATGTGTTTGAAAGATTTGGATGGCATAAATGTAAAATGTAAAGTTCAGGTGTTCGATATGCAAGTACACAGGAATTGGTTGGTATGTATGTAAATGCTCCTAAAATAGAACCAGATGGCAAACATTCAAATTTGCGACGTGTGCGTCATTGTGCTTCTTGAAAACATTAACATGGATGATAACAATATATCAAAAACTTTGTTGTGCCGACTTTTAATCTACAAATTTGAGTCAATTTGCATGATTAGGTTTATTAGTTCTATCACAAAAATAAAAGTGATACTGCGATAGAAGATTTGAATGTTCAAGTAGTATGGTTAAAAATTGATGAGCGCTTAAAATATCATCTAATAAAAGAATATCATGAAGGTTAAAGTTAATTATAAATTTGAAATGAAATTGTATGTGCCACATATGAACTTGAGCGTTTGCTGACAAAAAAATCACTAACAACCACGTGTAGAAGAATAGAGAATGTTAAGATGAATGCATGGAAAAAGTTGAAGGGCATTTACGTCAATGCCACCCAATTCTTTTAAATCACATAAAAAAATACCCCACTTTAACTTTAAAAAAGTGAAGTACACCTTTTCATGCATAGGTAAAGTGGCATGCATGTAAAAATTGAAGTTTTGATGTTAGATATGAAAATACATAGCAGTGGTATTTACGTAAATCTTTCTAAATATATAAATGTTCTGCTAAGCAAACATATTTAAACAATTAGAGAATACCTAAGAGGTTCAAGAGTACTCTCCCCAACGTAAGCTACTGCAGCAAAGTGCATCACCGCATCAAATGCATTTTGAGCAAATATTTGATCAACCTAAGAACTTGGTGAAGGAAGAACGTCCCGTTCACAATAACTTTTAGAAAAAGGGAAATTTACATACCTAGCACAAAATTCTCATGTATATACATATCGCAGACCTAAACTATAATATTTACATGAAAATGAGTATTTCACTTGGTAATAGTGCTATTTTTGATGTGATATTAAAGATTTGAGTTCTATGTGCACAAATATGAAAGTTTAGGTGTGAGATATGTAAATACATAGGAATTGTGAGCTATGTAATTGCCCCCACAAAAAAAAAATGTAGTTCAAAAAGGATACAGCTTTTGCATCGCCTAAATCTGCAAAGATAAATTGCAGCCTCCCTGGCTCTGGAAATAACTCCTGAAGAATTTTAACAGCCCCAATGTTTCCCCTAGAAAGATTATCCTACAATGAATTATGACCACGAGATCAGTCATTGCAAAAGCATTTTAATGATTTCGTTTGGATAATCAAATCATACCACAATAGTAACCCGATATGAGTCCTTCAAGAGTCGAAGAGATGCATGTGACCCTATATAGCCGGCTCCCCCAGTTACTAAGACATGTGTTACCCCTTGCTCATGCTGGGAAAACTGCAAAAAAGATAGCAAAGGAAAATATTAAGTTCATATACATTCATCAAAATAAACTCTTTATAATAAAGATTAAAATATCATGTTAAAAGGAACAAATTTATAACCTCGCAAGAAAATGTTCCCTACGAAATTTAATATTATCGAAAAATTTTGCAAGGAAAACATAAATTATAATAATTATTCATCACTTCAAGAAAAATATGCAGGGAAAACGAATGCTAGAAATATATGTTAATGAAATGAATAGAAAACATGAGAAGATAGAAATCAACGTTCCATTCAAAGAGAAAGCTGTAATTAAACATTATTTAAATGTTTCAGTTTTCCTAAAGTAGCTCCTATATACTAAAAAATCATCACTTGAAAGATCAACCTATTAATTAGAGAAGCTAATAAAGAAAATTCCATTCATTCTTTTTGAGAAGCTTGCTAATCTCAAGAGCAAGTACTGACTTGTTGTTTACAATGAAGATGCCGCTCTGTTGTAATACAGATGTGTAATGCCAAATCAAGCATACATTTTATTGTTTCTTCACACCAATGCTATTAGAAAGGTTTAAAAAAATGAGTTGAACAGCAACAATTACGACAACAAACGAAGAATATTTATTAAGAAATAAAAAACCAAAATTTGGGCTAAAGAAGAGAAAACAATAATTCAACTTTATAAATATGGGAAATCCGCAAGCATAAAAAATAATAATAATAATAATAAATCTCCATGGCAAGAATGATGGAAATCCCACAAACAAATTATGTCAAGTGAACTAGATTGTAATGTCAAACTGGCTTATGCTTCTAAATGCTTTTGGTATGAACCAAAAAGTCTATTTAGTCAGGAACAACAGATTACTACATACCATAATTTATTTGCACAAAGGTGCTAGGAATGATAAAACCGAAATATCATGTAGCTTTAATATTTTAATATAAGAATCAAAAGGGGAAAGGAAAGTCATAAAAAAAAATCTGCGCATCTTGTAACAACAAAAAACCACACATAAATAGATCTATAGTAGCAAGAAACCAAATTAAAAATACCAAAATAGGAAAACCCAGAAAAAGAAAACTAAAAAATAAAAGATAAAAATTGTTGGCAACCTGAATCGGGCAATCCCCCTCTTGTCATGTGATTGAGGGACCTTTCCGTGATCCCGCTAAATCTAGGAAAGACCTATTCTTGTTCTCTTAAAATTTCTGGAATCAAAACACCATCATCATAACAAAATTATGGTCTTGCGGTGTCTAAGGCTGTCACGCGACAAAATCCATCCAAGACAAGTTAAAAACACACATACATCCTTCCAAAGTCTACCATGATAAAATATATATCCATCATTCTTTGGCACAACTTGAGTTGGAACTGCTCATAGCTGAGTATTCTCACAAACCAAATCTCGAGACATTAAATATGTAATATGCTTCTCCCACTTCTCATACTCGGTTCGGTGCATCTGATGAACACGTATTTATGGAGAAATCAACCCTAGAATGAACTCTATTGCACGTTGGACCATCGTCAGTGGTGACCGCCAAAAAGTTAAACAATTAGTCATTATATTTGGCAACTCCATCAACAGGGGTTGTCCCTTTTTATATATCGACTCCTCATACTCACTATTTTCTATGACAATCAATGTTAATCCCGTGGTGATCTCTAACTTCGGCTCAGCTTGAATCACTATCATCTCTTCATCGTTAGTTGAATGTTGAGACTCTTTTATGAAGTATTCATTCTCTCTAGTGTCACTGTCCCTTTCTTCAATTGTTCGATGCCTGACGAAAGAGATTTTCTTTTGTTTGGGCAATTTGATACATTGCCCAAAACCGTGACAATTTGATTCCTTATGTTCTTCACTCTAAACTAGTTTCTCCTCATACGGGGTCGGCTAGGGTGCTCCGTTGGAAGCACTCTTATTGCTTAATCCTGGAGAGTAACTCTGCCTGTAAGGTGTGAAGATCACCTGATGATGTTTCTCCACCATTGAAGCTATGGTCAGAACAACTTGTAATGTCCAATAGGGTAGTAATTATACCACGTTGTCAATAGACGGTCCCAATCCTCACAAATATCAAGCTAGGTTGTTCTCTTCTGGGCTCCACTAGCCCACACTTCAACATAAGTTGCTCAAACTCAGAGATTTTATTGTTATAAGTGATGAAGTCTCAAGAACATGTCATGTAAGTAATGCGAGGGAATGCATTTGCGTTGACTTTCCCTTTTCATCTTTAGATCAGATGATGATCTAATTCTTCCCATCCTGATATCAAAGATGCTTCAAGTTCTCCTATCATAAAGAAACATTCTTTTTTAACTTAATATCGACTAGCTTGAACATTTTGTGAGGTGAAATAGTTTTATTCTTAAATATTTATTTCACTGTCTGGAGCCTCTCAATAAATTCATCTGGATCCATGCAAACAACACTCCAACACCTTGTCTTCTCTGATATTCAATGCTAAATCGATGTGACATAGGTTGTTTGTCACCAAAAACTTCCTGATGGAAGGGATCACTTCCTCCCCAAAATTTGGCGAGTCATCATTATGGCTACGAGCGACCTCACTAAATTGACTTGTCTCAAAGGCGACAAACCTTCACTGCATTTGGAAGATTTCCTGTTGTATATCCTATATAGTAAGCTCCTAGGCATCGTTTTGCATATTTCTCCTAAGCGGCATTGTGTCATTTTTTCCTGATCAGACTTTCAGTGAGTGCGGGTTGCAACTCAAGGTTGGTTGGAAGCTTAGGTTTTAGTGGTAGGTGTAAATTTAGAAATGCTCAATTTTGAAGGTAGAAATGCTCAATTTTGAAAATTTAGAGTTTGAGACTTGGAGTTAGGAATTCTGGTAGGAATGATTTTTTATGGTTGAATATGTTTTGGAATTTTGAATTCGGACAAGAATGACAAAATCCTAAAATTTAGGACTTGTCTAGCTTTGATATCAAAAGATACCATTTTAGAACTCCTAGAATGTGTTTGGGAATAAAAAAAGGCACTAGAGAAGTTGTAGGAATGGTAACAGGGAAGGGAGGATGGATGACAGCTGATATTCTAGTGCAAATGACAGCTTTGTAGCGAACTAGAACGAAAATCAGCAGTTTACTACTGTGAACAGCAATTTGTTGCAAGTTGGATGTTGAAAGAGATCTTTGAACATCTGGTAGAGGTCAACTTTGATCATTTTAGGCTACAAACACACTACCTAAAGAAAACTCAAAGATGCAGCACTCCATTAGAGAATACTAGAAGAAGACATCTCCAAATAACATAAAAATAGTTAAACATCCTCTAAACAGCAAAAAACCACACATAAATAGGTCCATAATCATAATTAAAATAATGAAATAGGAAACTGCAGAAAAGAAAGAAAAAGAAAAGGTAAGAAATAAAAAATTTTGATGAAAACGTGACTCAGGTGCTCCCCCTACCTCCTACAATTTCCAGACCTTCCCGCGATCCCGCTAAATCACGGAATTCTGTGTTTTTGTGGAACTAACAAGCTCCCGCATCAGTTATTTGAAGCTATAGATTGAAAAAAGCGACGTCATGCCTATATAATAGAAATAAGGGGCATTTACATACATACCATCCAATCCCTATATATTTACACATCTAACACATAAATTTTTCTTCTTCTATTTATATCACCCAAATATTACACATCACATCAAATATACCACCATTTTAACACTTATAAAAGGTGAAAAACAAATTTCCATGCATAGGTAAGGTGGCATTTGTGTAAAAATTGTAGTTTATGTTTTACATATGCATATACACAGGAATTTTGTGGTATATGTGTTCTACATAGGAATTGTGTTAAAGCCAACAACGAGCGAAAGATACCTCAAGAATGTTGTGAAATTTAGGGCAAAGCAAAACATGAATCGACACAAAAACAGAAGAACACAGAGATTTAACGAAGTTCAACAAAGATGCCTACATCCTCGGGAGAAGAGCGACGAATTTACTATTTCAGAAGAGTTACATACCCATAGGGTTACACATCTATTTATAGATAAAACCCACAGATAATTACAAACACGCCATCGCTCCCCTCAACCCACTAATCCAAGAGACACACCTCTTCATTCTAGGAGACACACCTCTCTAAATCCAAGAGACTCCAAATTCCTGGTATATGAGTCATACCTACAATTATCCACCTTGGCGAATATCCAACCCTTAGGAGAAATACATCATGGAGTTTCGTACACCGAAGTGGGTTGGGCAACCATGTCAACTAGCAACTGCAAACATTCAATAAGTTCACCTGGTCCTATTGCTGTAGTTGGAATCGCGAAATAAGGCTCCCACTCCCGTCCTCTCTTCTTCAGTTCGCGAACAGAAAGTCATCCTCCTCATTTTCGTGAAACGCAGAAAGAGGAGCGACCTTTCCAGTCGGTAGGAAGAAGATATCGCAACTCCTCCTTCGGTAGTTGCGATTGCGAGCGGTGAATACAGAGTAAGGAATCGCAGATTTGGGTTTTTCTTTGGGAAGGAGTTCTTGCTTGTGACTTGCGTTGAAGACAGGAAGAAGGATTTCTTGCTTGCAGGAAGGAGTTCTTTCTTGTGGTGAAGTCAGGAAGGAGTTCTTGCTTGAGGTGAAGACAGTAAGAAGGAATTGTTGCTTGCGGTGTTTCCTTTCTTTGAACTTATCTTCTGTTGTGGCTCTCGGATATAGAGAGAGAGGAAGTAAGAAATTTATTTCTTGTAATTGTCGAAGAGATCAACTGATGTAATTTTCTCAAGTAATAAAATACTCTGCAACTCCGTGGATGTAGACAATTTGTCGAACCACGTAAATCTGTGTGTTATTTTGGTGTGAAGCTTTTCTCATTCGATCTTTTCACTTCGTCGTCAATCGTTTTAAATTAAATATACCGCAACAAAGAATGACTTATAGCATCATTATACAATACTAGGACCATTTGGCTGATATAAATATAAAAAATTGTAGTTTATGCGTTAGATAAGTAAATACATAGGAATTGAGTGGTTTATAGGAATTGTGTTAAAGCCAACAACGAGCAAAAGATACTTCAAGAATGACTTTCAGCATCGTTATACAATACTAGGACCAGATCAAACAGGGGAAGCGAGGGATTGGATTGATCCAAATGACCAAAACAGTTAAAGGTACGAGTAATAAAATAATCCCTTAGTGATTTATTTGTTAGGTAAACCAAAACAGTTAAATGGGCCATTACTAATTGTCATTAAAGAAAAGGGTTGAGGTGAACAGTAAATCGCCTTAGAATATAGGGGTGTTTACATACATAGCACACAATTCTAATATTTCACGTTTACACATAGCACTAAAATCTTTAATATCACATAAAAAATAGCACTATTACCACTTTCAAAAAAGAAATACGCCTCAAAAGTGCTACGAATGTAAATATGAAATTTAGGTGTGATATATGTAAATACATTAGGAATTGTGTGCTAGGTATGTAAATTTCCCTAAAATATATGGTAGAGCTGATAATTTACCCACATGTAGGGTTCAAGAGGTAACTAAGTCGTGCATTTTGAAATAACCTTAAGATATGGTTAGCTAGAGACTGTCCCCCTCACAATAAACAAACGGTGCAATTTAATACCACGCAAAGGTAATTGCCAAAAAAAAGCATGAATGACATCTAAGATCAATTGTTGTCATTTGCATGTATGCATGCATTTTTTTTTTATTTTTTATTTTAAATTAAACAATGACATAAAGAAACTGGAACAAGGACAAAGCATTCAACTAAAATTTCATGCCCCAGGCAAACTACAAGATTCAAACTTTTATGAACATTCTATATTGATTTTAGCTTCATATTGAATATTTGAAAAATAAGTTGGTACAAAAATATTAAGTGGTTGGTCTTCTCGCATAAGCTTAAGCTTTTAGATTAAAAATGGCGTGGATCACTGATATAAGGTCCAGCTTTGATCATCCTTTGATTCATCCTCCCTATCAAGCGTTATACATTTCACTTCAAAAATTTGTACTATTTTTTACAATTGTTAAGCAAGACTCAAGGGTGAAAACTACCAAGGCACCATCACTTGATTGAGTGAGCTCTTCCTACATCATGTTGGCTGAATATAAATTTGTGAAGCACAGGGGTGAGGGTGGGTGGTCTCGGAGGAGGGAGGCGCTCTCCCATAAGCTCTTTTATGTTGACTATGGGCTTAACCACCGATGTGTAAGGTCCGATTTTGGTTTATTCTCCCTAGTATCATCATGGTTAGCTTATATAGACTATCTGGGTCAGCTCTATGATACTCATATTATTCAATCATTATAAGTATTGATTAAGGTGTTAAACATATTAGGCAAAAGAATTTATGCACAATTTATATCAAAGTTACCCTTAGTCTACACATTTTCCTTCTCATCTTTTGAAAGTAATTTTCTATTGCCCATGTATCGGGCATATTTTCTATAAATCCAAATCTTTCAAATCTATCTTCCACATTTTCATCTTTAATAGATAATACTCAAACCATTCCTAAATTTATACTTTTTAGTTTTGCCACATTCAACTTTACATTCTCTAGTTTAATGTTCTCAATTTAAAGATAAACGACCATTTTATATTGCCCGTCAAAATCAAAAAAACATACCTACCTGACTTCAGTTTGTTATAATTAAACTTTAAACCTCCAAGATATTCTCTTATTTGCTCCTGATGCACTTCTATAGTTTAACCACTTAGTAATAATTCAAGAAGTAATATATTCATCTACATCCATATTCTTCTATATAATAAAATTAATAAGCTTAATCTACCTACTAATATTGACAAACTCATAAAAAGGTTTTAAAGTTTTAAACGTCTTGGATTTATCATGCGAGGAGATATTAGTAGCTTATTAATGAAAAATATGATATTTAAAAAAAAATGATGAGAACACCAAATCATCATTGTGAGGGTAAATTGATCAACAACCCTAAGGCGGTGTTTGGAAGCATATGCAAATAATAGGATTTATCCATGGATTTAATCATTTAAGTTAAATCTAGCAAACATAAAATAAAAATAAAAATTAAATCCGACGCTCCGTTGAATCAAAATTTCTTTTGTTTCATCTTTTTATTCTTGTGATCCGTCTCTTTTATTAACATAAATCCCGATTTACTAAATCCAATTATGAGGTAGATTTATTTTGTTGTCGCTCGCGAGCTCCATACCCTTCACACATTGGATTTGATAAATCCGGATTTATCGGATTTATTGGATTTGATAAATCCTATTTAAATTGAATCTAGGTTGCAGCCAAACACCGCCTGAATGCCTAAAACAGAAAATAATAGTAACCACAAAGTATCTGAATAAGCCCACCAACTTGTTTATTTAGTATTAAAAAAAAGGGGGAATTTGCCAAGGCATTTTCTTGGAATATTTACCACATTTGTGCCGCTGAAACCAGGAGAGTTCTTGAGAATGAATATGCAGACAACTGTAAGAAAAGCTGCCGTGAAACATTTTCCTGCAAAAAGCCGCTTCCTTCTTGAATCTAAGTAATCCATCCCTGAAACAGAGAATAAGCAATGAAAAAAGTGCTAACAGAAAAGAAAGAGTCATCTTAAAGAAACAGTAAAAACAAATAAATGCATACAGAAAATTAACACAATAAACCGTTTTTTCAGACGAAACTAAAAACAAATTAAGTAATAAATCACCAAAATACCCAATCAACAAGAAAAAAACTGAAAAGAGATGAGATCTACCTGCCCTAGGCTGACTTCTGATCCTGCTACTGGGCAGCATGAGTGTAATTATTTCAAGATCATGTATAATATACAAGAAGAATCTCTCCTCTTCAAAGGCCGCTTCTCGTCAATCTCGAAACAGTTCTGCACCAAGAGTTTCACAGGATAAATTATTGAAGATCTGTACATCCATCAAAAGTCACGACATCGACATCAATTACAGAAGCAAGCAGTAATAAAATTTCCATCAGGTAGCATAAGAGATAAAAATCTAATTCTAAGCAACATAGCTTATAATATGCGTTGTCAGCAGAAACCACCAATAAATTCCAAAAATAGAAAAAAGATGAGCAGCAGAACCGGCGACAGCTTATAAATCACAAGAGAAAAAGTGACAGCCTTGTCTACGATCCAAACGGTGTAACCCCCAATCAAGCCGTCAGCTTTGCGATTCATACACCGATCCAATGACCAGCAGAACCGAATACAGCATGAATGTTTGGCGATTTAATATCCAAAAAAGTAACAAAATGAAGAAAACATGCGATCCGCAAGGGAAGCTAAGATGACGCACAAGTTAACATAATCCATGAAACTCTGCAGCACAAAAATGTCTCTGTGGAAAAGCTATTCTACCCTAACTGAAACCACTCAAACACCTCCAATTTTCGAAGCAAGTCATTCATTCACAGCAGCCGATGATGGCAGTGCAGACGAAATGGGAAAACGCGGACGAAGAGAGAACAACCCGCTCCATAAACAAAAACCAGATCACAAACTTCGCAAACAACAACACATCACGCAAAACGCCTAATCAGAGCTTCATCATACCTGGATGCAGATGAACGAGCTGAATAAACGATGAGTGAGAGGCGAAACGGCCGGAGAGAGAGAGAGAGAGAGAGAGAATGGAAAGGAATGGAGCTTTCAGATCGGGAAGAGGAGTTCTTGATGGATTTGGCAGGAGGGGGAGGGGAGAGGAGAAAACGGGGAGTATAAATATTTGTAAGAAAGCTGACTTTCCCCATTGGCGCTCCGGCCGTTCTCTCCGTATGGAGCGACTTCTCCTCGGAATGAGGGGGACTATTTCCCAACATTTTTAATTGCTTGGAAATTTAATTAGTTTGGCCGTACTTTATAACAATTCTCCAAATTGCCCTCTATCATTATTTTTTAAAAATAAAATATATTTTTTTTATTTAAATATTTAAAACTACAAGGGATTCATTTTTTTATGATTATAAATATCAAACTTTAGGTTTTAGATTTTTTTTTAAAGTAAAGAATGGTTTAGGGCCCAGATTTCTTTATGTGTCTAATCATTCGACCTTGCACTACAAGACAAATGCACTCAGCCGAACTTGAACCCGTGACCAAGGGACTTAGAACTGACTTTACAAATGTCAACCAAAGAGTCACAATGAAAAACACAAATTTTATGTTTTAGATATGTAAATACATAAGAATTTTGTGGCATGAATATCAAATTATCTTTAACTTTTAAAATGTCAAATAATTTCAAAAAAATAAATTATGTACTCATTATATATATAATAACACATACACAGGATGTATGTAAGATGTATATGTATTATTATCATTTTTTTTTTTACAATTTAATGTTAATCTAACTAATTTCAAGTGACCATCAGTGAATAAAAACCAATAATATTTAATTTCATGTCAATTAAAATGCATAATGATTCTTCAATAATAGTTAATGGTGACAGCATTAAGTAATATTAGGTTATTTTGAGCTAATCATGGGAGAAAAATTTGAGCAATTTTTAGAAACTTTAATAGGCGGCGCATTCTTGTTAAGAGATAGACATATCATTCATTGTCCATGGTGTATTAAGTGCTATTTGCTTGAGTTCTCTTATGGTTGATTATACATTGTTGAATATGCTTTAGTTTTTCATGCAACCACATCAATATGTTGGGATCGTTACATTTATCTTATTACTTGTTGCATACATTCATGGGCATATCGATCAATTCTAATGGTATGCATATCTAACGCTTAAATTTTCATTTTTACACGCATGCTATGTTACCTATGCATGAAAATTTGTATTTCGCATTTTTAAATTTAAAATCGCGCTATTTGTTATGTGACATGAAAGATTTGAGTTAAATACATATAAAAAAACAAACTTTAGGTGTTAAGTACATAAATACATAGAAATTGAGTGGTAAGTATGTAATTGTCCCTTTTATATATATGTCTTAATTATTTTCCTCTCATCTATCAATCGTTTTTACATGACTTATGATGAGATGCTAAAGTGAGATATAAGTATGAACTAATTATTTCTTTATTACTCTTTTATCCTCTCTTTTTTTTAATATTGCAATGCGTACTAACCTGTACTAAATATGTATTTTATTTTCTAACCAGCTTTCCCCGTAAGTTATGCATGCAGGTAATTATGGATTGCCTCCTTGTGACCTAGAATTCAATTATGTAAGAAAACAAAATTTAAGACTTGTTATCAAGATTAGTTGACTTTGGCTGTAGATAGGGGTGTCAAATCGAGTTTGTGGGTCAGGTCCAAGCATCCGACCCGCTCGAACCTAACCCAAATATTAAACGGGTTAGAAAGTGCAACCCACCAACCCGAACCAAATCAATATAACTCGTTTCACGTGAGGAATAACATCCATTCAGGTCTCGTTTAAGTAGATCTCGGGTCAATCCAAGTAGGTGGATCGATTTTGAGTCAATTTAGGGTTGGGGGGTCAGTTTCGGGTCATTTTGAGTTAGCGGGTCAATCCAAAACACGAACCCAAGTCGAAGATTTTGTACATGGAATATTCAAGAATTAACAAGCTATGTATATATATATATGTTATGTTTCAAATAATATGGTAGTTAAACAATGGCTTTTTGTAGAATTAGTTAGGAAATCAAATATTGATGTTGCATTAATATATGTAGAAAGTTAAGAATATTAAATAAATTTTATTATTTGTTTTTGGAGGAAGGTCATTTTGTTAGCATCTCCACGTTACTTTGGCAATGATATTAGCTGCAACATCACCTCGGCTCAAATTGGAGCTCAGAAAGGTCATTTATGGCATTTTTATATTAAATTATGGGCCATCTAAACTCTAACTTGAAGGTATTTATAGTCTGATTCAAAGTTTCGATGAGACTAATCCAATGGCAACATAGTCCATTGGATTTGACTCTAATAAGCCCGAATCAGGCAGTAAAGCATGGCTACCTTTTTTAGGATATCAATTCAATGACAAATGATATCCATACGTTTTATCCTAAAGTTTCACAAAAGAATTGTTGCTAACATATCAAACCACTTCAGTTTGACTAACGTTGTTGACCCACTATCATTCGTTCACAATCATTTCACCATGAATGCCCAATCATCGTCATTAAATAGTAGCTACCCGTCCACAACTATTTGGTCAATGTCACTCGATCATCGCTATCAACTTGCTACTACTTGAACGTTATCATTAAACCGTCGCCATTCAAGATTCAAGATTGATGACTACCACTATCAACATCTATTACCTGAGCTTAATCAACCAAATATTATGGGTTGCCCTCCACTGTTCATCCACCATCTATCAACTATCATCATCTCCCAATCACCATTGTTGGTTACCATTACCCAATTAGAAAAAAAATTTCCAACAACATCTCACTATAATTTCTCAATAATTGTAATCTGATTATTTTTGCTTGTCCACTATCACTAAACCACCTTTCAATTGAATATAATAGCCCAACTACAATTGCTCGCCTATGATCGTCTGATCACCATCATACGGTAAAGATCTCCCAACCACTATCATTACTGCTATTGCCTATCCACGGTCTCCTAACTACCATCACTCGAGTATAATCACCATATCACATTTGCTTGACTATGTTCATCAAATCACTATCATCCAACTATGACTATTTATCACCATCAACTGACTTTGGACCCCTTGATCATTTTAACTTGATTATGGCCTCCAAAACATCATTGCTAACTTACGATCACTTGACCACCATCATCTAAGAGTTTGTTTGAGGCGGCTACATCTGTTTAAAGAGTTATATGTGAAGCTACTATATGAAGAATTTGATGCGACAAAGCAATTTTTGGTGAAGAAATATATTTGTTTGGATAGCTCATTTGCGGTTGTTTTTGAAATAAATATCATAATACCCTTATATACATTCGTTAGATGTAACTTCATTGTTTCAAAATTAACTGAAATATAACAATATAAATGAATATAAAATGCTCTTAGAAATTTAGAAGTCTAAAATATTACATAAAAATTTATACATCACTTAGCATCAATTAACACAACAATTAAAATTATAATGACAACAATCAATGCTATCATAATGTTTCTTTTACTGTTCAAATGATCAAATCCATTAAAAGCCTTCTTCTCAAAAATACTCTCCATATGTGATCACTATCTAGATTGGACTTCTCTAAGTCGTTGGCCCATCTAATAAAGCCACGATCATCAATTGATCTTTGTTAGAACACATGTAAAATCTTCTTCCATAGTTGGCTTCTCGTCGTGATAAAGCATTGCAAAACACAATTGCAGTATACAACTCTAGAGATAGCATAAATCCTATTTACTCATAATTCTTGAGAAAAGTTAAAAGAAAAAGTGAGCTCTTATAGTCAATATAAATAGCTAAATAATTTGTCACTATAAAAAACTAGAGGAGTTAAAAAAGTAGGGGTTCTTCGTTGCTTTGAAGCACTTAATACAAACTCATATGTGAGAAAGAATAGCAGCTGAAAAAGACATCCAAAGAACTCCTAAGATCATACGACTTAGAAAGAAAAGGGTTATTGGTTGCCTTAAAACACTTAATACTAAACTTGTATACATCAGAAAGCATAGCAACATAAAGGTCATCCAAAAGGAGTCATACGATTCATCATTGACCTCAAAAGAAAAAAAATGTTAAATCAATTCATAAACAAACAAAACAACATAATATTTTGTTCAAGTACTCCACATGTACCTAACTCAATTGGGGTTTCCTGACCAAGAACCTATGCATGCTTATCGATGGTGATGACTCCTTTGAACATCATATCAAGCTTCTCTTCAAGTTCATGATTAGTGCCACAAAATTTAAACTTTTTATGTTAGGGACAACCTACATTTCATTGAAGAGAAATTAACCGTTTATATTGAATTGAACATCCAAGCAAGACATATGACATGTCAATTTATAAAGAATTGACTTCATCTCCAATTTTTTCTTTCGTTGTTCATTTGAAACAACAACAATCTTCTTTGTGAGGTTTCAAACTAGTATGGTTGATCCACATTTTAGTTCTTTCCAATGTTTCCAATCATTTTTCAGTTAGTCTCATATATTTTTAAGCTGACCATTGTCATATTCTCTACCAAATTTTTCACAAAATAATTGTATTATAATATGTCATTCTTTTTTATTGAAATGCATTATAAGTCCTAATTCTACTTCATTTTCATAAATATTATAAAAAACAAGAGCAGTTTCCCTCTCCCATGTAATAGATAAACAATATTCTCTTTATTTCACCATTGCAACCCACTACATAAAAAAAATTTGCAATGTGAGAAGAGAGAAATTGTAAAAATTGTAACATAAGCCTATTTCTCATCCATAAAATTGAAAAAAAAAAGAAGGAATATTAAAATTAGCTAAAAAATTTCACAACCCAAAGTCAATATAGAGAGATAAATAATCTGTCATTAAACTATAACAAGAAGGCAGATGACCCATAAAAAGGGGTTTTTGGTAGTCTTACATTAGTTTAGGACAAACTCTTATATATCAGAAAGCATACCATCAACAAGACCATCCAAAATAACCCTTAAAATCATATGGCTCAGAAAAAAGTAAATTTTTGGTTGCTTTAATACACTTAATAGGAAAGTCACATACATATATCGAAAAACATAGAATTAATATGAAGGCCTTCTGGAAGAACCCCAAGGTCATATGACTTATCATAAAGTTATAAAAAAAAGTTATTCCAAATCCAATTTTAGCCCCTAGAGAAAAATTATATAAAATATATACACTTTATA